TGCCTAGCATGCATGAGGCCCTGAGTTCATATTCTTCTCTACTACATAAACAAAAAATTAATGAAATTAATAAAAAAATTGTAAAAAAAACTTTTTTTATGACAGTCCTGAGGCTTGGGGCCAAGGCACTTGCTTTTAGCTTTTTAGACTCTAGGTTGCTGCTCTTATCACTTGAGCCATACCTCCACTCCCAGCTTTTTGGTGGTTCATTGGAGATGAGTTTCCCTGACTTTCCTGCCTGGGCTGGCTTCAAATCACAATCCTCAGATCTCCGCCTCCTCAGTAACTAGAATTACAGACATTAGCCAACAGGACCTGGCCACAAAATCTTTTTCTTGATCTAACTGTCCCATCTACTCCATTTTACGCCTTTACAGGAAACTTAAAGAGAGTTTCAAATTAATTTTTATTAGCATACATTAGTTATTGAGGGGATATTTTTTTCTTCCTAAAATTAAAAAAATAAATTTTGTCTGGGACACAACTGGGCATCTAATACTTCATTCATTGGCTCTACCACCTGAGCCATGCTTCCAGCCCACAAGGGGTATTTTATTGTGGCATTTTCGCAAATGTATGCAATGTATTCCAATCCCTGATAACTTGCCTTCTTTCCTAATTCAATTTCAAGAGGGTTTACTGTTTGTTGTTGTTGATGATGATGATGATGATGATTGTGGGGCTTGAAATCTGGGTCTGGGCGCTGTCCCTCAGTGCTTCAGCTCAAGGCTAGCACTCTACCACTTGAGCCACAGCGCCACTTCCAGCACTTTACCACTGAGCCACCTTCCCAGCCCTAACTTCTATTTTTATACTCACCAAAAAATATTTCAACAATTTCCTCTTATTAGCCTTTAATTCTCATTAGCCCAACTCCTTCTCTTTAGAACCCATACTCCTAAGAAAGCCAAATTTCTTATCTCTTATTCTCACTTGAGCCTTGAAATCAGATTTTTCATGCACTATTGCACTGAACCTACCAAAAAGTTTCCACACTGCTCAAGCCTGTGGCCATTAAAGTCTGGTCCCACTGTGAGCAGCATAGTCCTTATATGGTTACCCTCTTCTCCTGGAAACACTTTTTTCATTTGGCTTCTAGGATTCTCCGGGCCTTCCTCCTCCCCACTAATTTTCTTTTCAGTGCTTTTCAGTGCTGATTTATTATGGACACTTGTCCATCATCTTTGAGAATTAGAAATTTCTAGACTTAGTCATTGGATTTCTTCTATCAGTAAAATTCATGGACTTCATCTCATATATATTACAATTACTCCAAAAGTTACACATCTAGTCCAGATCACTAGAAATCCCTAGAAACCATAGAAATGCCCAGTTTGGATCTTCTTTTCAATGTCTAATAGAATCTCAACATGACCAAGGTAATTTCTCAATATCATCTCAGAACACTTATTCTCTCATCCTTATCAATGCCAGCTTCATTATTCTACTTGTTTAGAACCTGAAGTTATTCTTCACCCCCCCATCTCTCTACCTATTTCCAACCCAGCAGGAAATCATTTTAAGCTACTTTTAAAATATATTCAGAATGTGACACTGCTCACTACTTTGACTGCTACTACCTGGACCAAATCATCACGACCATTCACGAAAATTGTTGAAAAAGTCTCTTTAATACCCTTCCAGCTTCAAACCTTACCTTTCTATATTCAAAATCTTCCTAAGTTTTCCCATCTATATTAGGGTAATAGGTCTGTAACAGGTAAACTTTAGTACATCAATAGCATGAAACAACTGATGAACATTTTACTACTTACCCACAAAAAGTCTAAAATTGGTGTTCATGGTAAGTAAATGATACTTTTAACAGGAATTTGGGTCCCTTCTATCCTATGGCTCTGCTGTCTGCAATACATGAGTTATAGAGTGGTCATCAAAAGAGAAAAAACTTGGAAAATTACATATGACAGGCTTGTGTGGCCAGTAATGGAAGAAGTGAACATCATATCTGTGGTCTTCCTTGGTCATAGCTAAATCGTGCTGCAAGGGGATGTTGGGAAATGTAGTCATCTTCATTAACAGGATCATAAGAAACCAGTTTGGTAAACAGCTAGTATCTTCCATACCATCTCACAGTAAAAACTAAAAGTCCTTGCCCTACATGATGGCTTCCCTCCAACCATATATCATCTCCTCCTCTACTCACTTCTGTACTAGAGCCACACCTGCTCCCAACTCCAAAATATGCTCCCAGCTCCAAGTCTTTGCCTTTGCTGTTCCCTTTTCTCAGAATGTTCTTCACCATCTTCATACATTTGCCCAAGAGTCCTCTCTCATGAGCCCTCCATAGTTACCCCTTTCCTTTCTTTCATTTTTCTTTTCCTTTCCCTTTCCTACCCTCCCCTTCCTTTCCCATCCCCTTCCTTTTCTTTCTTTCTGTGCTAATACTAGAGCTTAAACACAGGGTCAGGGTGCTGCCCTTAGCCTTTTTACTCAAGGTTACCATTTAAACCACAGTTAAATTTCTGGCTTTTTGGTGGTTAATTGAGACAAGAGTCTCACAGAATTTGTTGCCTGGGCTGGCTGAGAACCATGATCCTCAGATCTCAGCCTCTTAGTAGCTAGGATCACAGGTGTAAGCCACTGATGCCTGGCTCCTAATACCCTTATTTTGTGAATCTTTATTTTTATTATAAAAGTGATGTACAGAGGGATTACAGTTATATGTCAGGTAATGAATTCATTTCTTTTTGGACAATGTCACCCTTTCCCTCACTCTCTCAGTTTTTCCCTCCTGGCCCCAACCACAAGTTGTATAGTTCATTTTCAACATAGTATCTAGTGCATAGCACTGCTGCATTTGTTCACCGTTTTCTCTCCATTTCTGTGTCCCCTCTTATTCTAGCTACCCTTTTGAAGATGGCAATATCACCTCAATAGCCCATTTCCGGTTCTTTCTCTACCTTGTTTTTACTCTTTAGCACCTATCACTAACTCCTCTTTTGCTATTTAAATTGCTCTCTGTGTCTTCTCACCTACCCCTACAAACCAGAACAACCACCAACAAACATCACAACAGAGCCTAATCCTTTGTGTTTACTGCTGCATCTATAGAGCTTAGCCCTGGATCTGGCACAGAGGACACAATACATTTATTTGTAGAGTATTTGATATTACCACATGAGAAGAGCTGAGAAATTTGGAGAATAGCAGCCTTTTGTGGTTGACACCATAATGCCTGCCACAAGAAGTCCCTCAATGCTGCACTCAGAGCCTGCTCTCAGGGCTAGATGGCCAGGTGTGCAGTTAAAGGCACCCTTTCTTCCCCACCCACCTTCTTTTATTTATTTATTTATTTTGATGCTGGTACTAGGGCTCAAACTCAAGGTCTGAGCATTGTCCCTTAGCTTTTTTGCTCAAGGCTGGTACTTTATCACTTCAGTCACAACTCCACTTCCAGCTTTTTTGATGGTTAATTAGAGGTAAGAGTTTCACAGACTATCCTTGCTAGGCTGGCTTTGAACCATGATACTCACATCTCAGTCTCCTGAGTAGCTATGATTTCAAGCATGAGCCACCAGCACCCAACATGGGCACCATTTCTTAAGAGTGCTACCCCCCTAAGTCCTTTTCCTCTGCTACCTCTGCTGCCTACTCTAACTCTAGCACTCCCATGGGACCTAACATGTTTTTTTTTATCCCCTCCTGCTAAAATCTATGCATCTTGAGCATTTGCAGTTTTTCCTCAAGGCAGTTTCTTGGGAAGCATATACTCATAGGCCAGAAAGGTCTACTATATATTTCTATCTTTATTTAGTTACTTGGCAATATGGTGTTTGAACTCAGGACTCCAGGCCTACTAGACAGGCACTTTACTGATGAATCCTCTTTTTGCACTGGTTTTTTGTTTGTTTGTTTGTTTTTTGGTCAGTCCTGGGGCTTGAACTTGGGCCTGGATGCTGTCCCTCAGCTCTTCAGCTCAAGGCGAGTACTCTACCACTTGAGCCACAGTGCCACTTCCAGTTTTCTGGTGGTTAATTGGAGATAAGAGTCTCATGGACTTTCCTGCCCGGGCTGGTTTTGAACTGTGATCCTCAGATCTCAGCCTCCTGAGTAGCTAGGATTACAGGCATGAGCCAACTGCACCAGGATTATTTGGGACTTCTTTAGATCAGCTTGAGTCATACCTTTCTATGAAGCCCTCTCTGGTTATCACCAAGTATCCCTATCTATACCTTATTTGAATATCCCAAGCAATAGTTGTCAGTCTTTATCTTGGCACTGAAAAGCAAACTAATTAACTTTGGACATAACTCTTTTGTGAGCCTACTATTTGTCTCAACTAGATTTATAGAACCTTTATGTGCTAAGAACTTAGTTTTTTTTTTTAATTCCATTTGTGTTAATGGATAGTTGCTTTAATTCCATAACACTAAAATGAATAGGTGAATAGAATCTGTGTTTCTCTTAAAAGGGATGTACAACAGATTCCACCTATTCAGTTCACCTAACACTGTTTTAGCATTCGCAGCAGATAGAAAGGATAAGAAAGATGCCTATTTCAGCACTTCGTCTAAAACAGATGGGTAAGCAACTTTGCGTGGCAAAAACGTCCAGTGTACTGAAGATACAAAGTACTACGAAGGCAGATAAGGGAAGTAGTAGTATGCTCAATGGAATCAGGAAAGGATTCTGCGGGTCCTAATGGCTTTTCTTATATAGAAAAGCCGGGAAAGCACCTATTTCAAGCAAAGGAACAAAGCCCATGCACTTGTGAAAAGATAGGCAGTCGAGAACGCGGCGGCCGTACGTACACGAGGGGGCGTGGCGGGAAACAAAACTGATAGAGGAGAGCCAGACTGCAGAGTTTCCTGCACAGGCGGATAAAGTCAGCTTATTTCTGGCCGGAAAGTAATACAGTAATCCGAGAAGCTGGGTGGAGGCAGAGTCACTCGCTGTGAATGAAGACGTGGCGGCCAAGCGGCCGCGCCCACACGCAGCCGGAGCAGGGGCTGGAGCCCGCCATCCGCACACGCTCCTAGACCAGGGTTGGGCGGGAATCCGGTCCACGCAATTCAGCGCGCTCTCGGGGACGTGGCGCTTTCCAGCCAATCCCGGCTACGTGGTCGGGGGACCAATGGATGTCCGGGAAAGATACGCGTCAGCGGCGAGTTTAGTGATTATTGGTCAGAAGGATGCTGACAAGGCGGATGGGGGCGGGGAGAAGAGTCGTTTCCGGCAGGGCGGTGCTTGCGCGCGGGAGCCCAGCCGGTGGGTGATCAGCCGCCACGGTGTTCTCTTACTGTGGGGCTCAGGGGAAAAGGTAAGTACGGTGGTGCCCACCTGCTTCGCCGCCGTGCCCTTCATTCGCTTGTCTTTGTCTCTTGGCCTTGCTCCCAGCGTGGCTTGGGCCCTCCTTACTCGGGGCGCGCGTTCTCCGGGCGCTGGGGTCCCGGGCCTGAGGCCTTTCGCAACGCCAGGGCCCTCGGCTCGCAGCCTGGGAGGAAGGCCCGGGCTGGCCCACTGGCACGCGCAGAGAAGCGGGGCTGCGCCCTCCCGAAATCCTGGCTCCTGGCTTGGCGCCGTGGAGGGCACTGTTGTGTGCCTTTCTTGCTTGTGTCTTTTTCTCCGTCCCAGAGCTCCTCCATTCAGAGACCCCCTCTGATTGTAGGGTCACTAAGCCTTTTGAAGGTCGGAGGACCGTGGAGGAGCGTTATTGCAGCAGCTTCGCGCCACCTCCCACTCACTGGGCTGGCTTGTATCTGCGGGCCCCACCCCAAAGGCCACATCTCGCGATTAGGGTGCTTCTGCCAACACAGTTGTGTTCGCTGACTTCAGGGAAAGCGGGAGGGAGAACGAATGGAGACCTCAGATCCTATGTTTAAAACACCTCCCATAATTTTAAAGAGAAGCTGGGAATGTGAAGCCTCTGACTGCATTCTTAAATCAGCAATCTGGAACAGTTCTGAAAGGTTTATAGGGAGAAATGGTTTCTTTGATTTGTTGCTTCTAACTCCACATCTTAGTTCTGACCTTGTGTGTTTGTGTATGTGTGTTTGTATATGTGTGTGCGCGCGCGCGTGCTAGTACTGAGGATTGAACTCGGGCTCTTGCGTCTTTAGCATTTTTGCTCAAAGCTGCCGCTCTACCACTTGAGCCACACCTCTGCTTGTGAGTTGGCTTTCTTCTCCCACATACCCCCACCCCCTGGTTAATTGGAGATGAGAGACTTTGGATTTCTCTGCATGGGCTGGATTCTAACCTCTAAAGATCTCAGCTTCCTGGTAGCTAGGATTACAAGTGTGAGCCACAAGTGCCTGGATAGTTGACTTTTTAGCACGCAGAAAGAAGTAAAACTTGTCTACAACTTCCATAATTAAGAACTGACTGGATTGCCCATTTGGGAATTTTCTTTGGTACCAAGACAAAAACTCCTAAGTATATATTAAAAAGCCCCAGAAAAGTAAGATTATTGTTTTTTTTTTCGTTTTGTTTTGTTTGTGCAGTCCTGGGGCTTGAACTCAGGACCTGGGACCTCTCCTGAGCCTTTTTGTGCCAAGGCTAGCAATCTGCCACTTGAATCACAGCTCCAGTTCTGGGTTTTTGCTGCTTGGCTGACTTGAAGCCATGATCCTCAAATCTGAACTTTCTTAGTCGTTAGGATTACAGACATGAGCCACCAGCACCTGGCCACCAAGAGTTTTTGAGAATTGAATTGTATTTATGTCTTGTTTTGTGCCTTGAAGACTGCATTAATGAACCGTGATGAGATTACTTCTAACTTTTTTTTTTTTTTTGGTCCGGTTGTGGGGCCTGAACTCTGGGTCTGGGCGCTGTCCCTCAGCTCTTCAGCTCAAGGCTAGTGCTCTACCACTTGAGCCACAGCGCCACTTCCGGTTTTCTGGTGGTTTATTGGAGATAGGAGTCTCACGGTCTCTCCTGCCCCGGCTGGCTTTGAACCGCCATCTTCAGATCTCAGCCTCCTGAGTAGCTAGGATTATAGGCGTGAGCCACCAGCGCCCGGCCCTCCCTAGAACTTTTGATGGCTTTCTTTCTGCGGGGTTGGGGGTGCCAAGAGGGAGAAGCTGAACTATAGGGCTAAGTGAAGCTGAATTTTCCCTGAGGCTGCAGACTTTCTTTCTCCATACTCTAAGCCTTCAAATTCTTTATTCATTCAACATGCATTCATGAAGTACCCCCTACATATTAACCTAAGAGAGTCCCTATGGTGGTGGGGTAACTGAATTCCCCCTGTTATTGTTGCTAGTACTAAGGCTTGGACTCCAGCCTGAAGCTCTTGCTTAGCATTTTTGCTCAAGGCTGGTGCTTGTGCTATACTTCAACTTCCAAGTTTTTGCTGGTTAACTGGAGATAAGGGTTGCTTGGATTTGCCTGCCCAGACTGGCTTTGATCTGTGATTCTCAGATCTTAGCCTCATAAGTAGCTAGTTAGAGATGTGAACCAACAGTGCCATGCAAGTTCCCTCCTCTTTCTCTTCCTCCTCCTCTTCCTCCTTCTCCTTTTGTCAGTACTGGTGTTTGAACTCACATTGGCTTGCTTGCTTGGCTGGAGCTCTACCACTTCAGACATGCCTCCAGCCCTACTTTTTGATGGTTACTTTGGGGATGGACTCTCAAGGAATTTTCTTCATGGACTGGTGTTGTACTGCAATCTTCTGGATCTCAGCCTCCTGAGTAGCTAGGATTATAGGCATGAGCTATCAGTGCCTGCTAATTTAGGTTTTCCAATGTAAACTATTCTGAATGAACTTCTCTTTGAGAGACATAATTAACAACTATTAACCATTATTAGCAAGAGGCCTTTATTAAAAATTGACAGTTTAAGCCTGGCGCTGGTAGCTCATGCCTGTAATCCTAGCTACTCAGGAGGTTGAGATTGAGGATCATGGTTCAAAGCCAGCCAGGGCAGGAAAGTCCATGAGACTCTTATCTCCAATAAACCACCCAAAACCCGGAAGTGGTGCTAAGGCTCAAGTGGTAGAACTCTAGCCTTGAGCTGAAATGCTGAGGGACAGAGCCCAGGGCCAGAGTTCAAGTCCCATGACCAAAAAAAAAAAAAAAAAAAGACAGTTTAAACAATTAAAATAAGTGCAGTGTTTCCTCCATTGGCAGTTTTATTTTTTGAAGTTTCAATTACCTGCA